AGTTCCATATGCTACTACTTTCATAAAACGTTACCACTACATTTGATAAATGCATCCGGATTCCTGTAAACATGATTTATTCATCGTCATCATCGCAGTAGCAAAGTTCCGTTTCACGATATCACGTTACGTATATATACGTATACACGTTATATAACATAATATATATAAAGAGCTTTTCTGATTTTCATAATTCCAATTAAAATGTAAATTAATTTCCGCGAAACTCCGTAATGAAAATAAAATTCCTTACAGTTAACACTTCGGATCCGCTTTCAAGATTCCTCAAGCACGAAATAAAATTACTTTGCGATTATCCGGAGCACAAAGGAACGGGAAAATCGGAACGCATCCTGTGGTCAGCTCCGTGTAAAATTCCTTTCGCTAACCGCCCCAAGAAGTTCCACTTAACTTTCGGGCGAAAGTTTCGGTCGATACTCTCGCCTTCCTTGCATTCAACTCATAGTCAGTCTATTTGCTCGGACAGACAACATATATAGCTTAGATAAATAGGAAAACATCCAAAGTCCATATATACATTTTTTTTTAGTCATATCCATTTTCCAACGGATTGGATGATCATAAATTGGATCGAACAAAGATATCTCATAAATTAAAAACTATAAAGTTTCAGAAAAGAAATTATTTTGTTGTACACAGAATTTCAGCTAATAGAAGTTTACAAAGTAATATAAAAATATTTCTTTTATCTAAATGTATTTATTAGGTTTAGTAAATTTTATACAATAAACTTTCTTAATAATTGTTACATGAATGTCAAAATATCAATTTATCAAAACTTAATAAACTTATACATTTAAGTAGTAAAGCTTTGCACATATTACAATTTCTTACATTCTTTAAAAAAAAATATCAATTTTGTTAGACATTTTTGGGCAAATGACAATAAAAATAATTACAAAACAAAATAGTAACGATTCTTTTATAACACTTTAAATTTTAATGTTAACACATGATTTCAACTGGTAAATCTATTTGTCTCTATAGAAGTTTAACATTTAAAGAAAAAAGAATACATAAAGAAAATTAGACTAAATAACATTAGTAAAAAAATTAGATGTTTGCTTTGGTGATTTTTATACTATATTTATAACTAAGTTTCAACTAATATAAAATTATGACAAATAATAGAATTTTGATCAATAAAACTAGCTATAAATTATATTCAAAGTTTTTCGTTATGATGAAAACGATTTGAAAAAGAAAGTATTATGAGTTCACTTACATTTCGCAGTGATGTAAATGCAATGAAATAAAAAAAAAAGATTTTCACCCATAAAATTTTATTAGAAAAATGTATTTGCTACCGGTGCATTTTATTACTCATTTTAAGTAGCTTAAACTCGGCAGGATTATATAAAATTCCCGCCACTAAACCGGACCTGTTCAACACGATGAAATCCTCATTAATTAGAATTATTACATCCCCAATTATTATCATTTTTTTTTTAATAACATTATACTGTTTATACTCCCTTCGTTTCCGCAACATTTTCTCTACACGTCCTCCAAATTATCCAAGCTTTACCATCTCTGTTTGTATTACTTTTTATATTTCACTGTTGGCGAAGCTGCGTTCAGGTTTGGAGGTCGTCCAAGATCGACGCCCTGCAAATATGCGCGTGGGTGGCGGAATTAATAGGGCGGAGGGGTTTGCGGAGAAGGGGGACGAAGAAAATGAAAAGAATGATGGGGGAGAAAAAATAGGAAAGGGCGCATACACAGAATGAGAGTGAGTGAGAGAAACAGACAGGAAGAAAGAGAGAAAAACGGAAAGCAAAGCGCGGCTTCGTCGTTCCGCGAATCGATGCTGCTGCGATTGACGGCTCGCAATAATTTTTTCCTTTTTAAAATTCACATCAAAGATTAAACCCGGCGCGCCGAAGAAAGTGTTGAATGGATAAATGGAAATCCTGCGGGCCGTGTTTACTCTGAAGCAGGTTCGCATTTGTATTATCAAATTGTGTTACAGAAAGAAACTGTAATTAACCAATTATAAATTGTGTATTTTTAATGAATTTACCGCATTCGAATACAACTTTTTTTTTCTGTTATTTTTTTATTCTATATTTGTTCACCGTAGTAAATTTAAAGAATAAATTAAAGGCAGTATTTATAAGTATATAAATGTAATGATACGTGCACACTATACGATACACGATACAAAAGTGACAGTTAAATATTCTAGTTATTTTTAACTAGTGCAATTTGCTATCATAGACTTATGATACATTTACGTCACGAATAGATGGATCATTAATAATATTTTTTTATTTTTATTAGGCGTTGTTAAGCTAAGAAAAATATTCAATTTATGTAATAATATATGAGATGTAATCTAATTTTTGATGACATTAAAACTAAACTCATAGCTACAATTTTTTGGTAAATCTCATAAATAATTATGACAAATGCCACGAATAATTTAGGTGCAATTTTGTAGTAACAATGAATTATATAGTAATATTATACTTTTTCTAAAGAAAATTGTTAGTATATTGGAGAAGTTCATCATTCAGTCTCATCCATCACTGCCACTGGTAATATTGATATTGTGTTGATAAAGCACACTTCCTTTCACAAGTGAAATAACATTAGACACATTTTGAAAGATTACTGAAGTGTAGGTATATATTAACTAAACTTATTGAAATATACGTCCAAAAAGTAGAATTTCTTCAATCTATGAAGAACTTATTTATTACTTTTTGAAATTTCACTAATGACTGAAAATTATAACATTATAATTATATACCAAATCTTATTGTAGTTTTGTAAATCACAAATTTGTTAATAAATTATTCTTGCTAATATCTTTAGTTAAAATCTCTTTCAGTTTAGTACACATGTTTATTAAATTAAGTAGTCATTTTATTTAAAGTATTTACCTATGAATCTCTTTATTAAAATAATAAGTCAATATTCATAAACGTAATAAGTTGAAATTTCCAATTACACATCTTTGGAAAAAGCAAACTTTAAATAGAAATTGTTATATAAACTTCTCTTTAAGCTGATTAAATTGAGAGAGAAAAAGAACATCGTTTCCAATTAGGATTGGCAAATGCAGAGAAAATCCTTTTTTGTTACAAATTCTGATTTGCGGTTTTCGAAGTGGCAATGAAAGTTTTATTAACGTTTAAATGTCACCTTTTAGCTTTAGCCGAAAGAATACAAAAAAAAGTATATAGAAAACTTTTTGATTTCGGTACACGCGGATCACAGGGTCTAATCTGCATCCGCAAACATCCCAGGAACCAATTAAAAGTTTTACGTCGAGTTTCCCCCCTTTCCTTTCTGGAACAACTAAAATTGACAGACGTTTTTACTGTTAACGCCCCGCCATCCCTTATATAAATGTGTGTATATATATATACATTTCTTTCTCGCCACTTCGGCGAAGATGTTGAATAGATTTCATAAATTTCTGTTCGTGTAGCTTCTTCTCCCGTTTCCTGGAGATCTTTTACGTTCCGGTTTCTTTCGATGAAATAAAAAAAAAAGGAAGGGAAGTAAATAATGGGCTTTGCATTCATTTATTTTTTACTTCCTCGTTTTTCTCTCCTTTTCTCGCACATACACACCCCATCCATCTATCGTATTCTCGGCTGTGCGAATGGGAAATTGGATCCCAATGCGTTGTGTGTATCATTGATTCGGCAATTGAAAAAGAGGATTGCTCCTGATTTGATTTATCCCCATTTATATTTAAGAAACGAGAACGGAGCTGCACTTAACTGCCGAAGAGAACGGGAAACGCATAGAATTTAATTAGTTCTCAATTAAGATTCGAGAATGAATTGGTTTTAAATCCTCATTTGCGATTTCGATCCGGCATTACACTCGAGGTTAATTGTAAATCCTCTGTGCAATTTCTTTTCTTTGCCTCAAATCGAAATTGATCTGCTTTTATACCAATTTAATTTTCGATTTACTTAATTATCAGTTATATATTAATAAAAGTAATTATGTCCCCTACATCTAAATCTTGGTGATATACAAAATATATTTGAAAAAAAAACGCAACAAATTTTCCTAATCATTTTATTTCTAGTTTAATCAAAATATTTAAAAAAAAATAAGTTATACATATTTAAATTAAATTCCATTTTTAACTCCATACAATGGTTTAAAAAAAATAATTAAATGAAAAATTAATTTAGAAAATATTAAAAAAAATAAATGTTTGAAATTAATCTATTAACTTAACTAAGAAAACTGATACATGAAGCTTACACATGTATGTATCCACATTAGTTAAACCTGAAACGAGACAACCGGTTCCACCAATATTCCGGATTGTTCGATAATTGAAGACTATGAAGGAAAAAAACAATATAAATAATTTCGTATACCAGTTTTTTAAAATTTAGTTGTATTTTGTTAATTATAATTTAGTTTATTTAGAAATTATGAAACCGTGATTCATAATCAAATATGTAATAGGTGAGGTATTTCTGTATATTACTAATTACTAATGGTTATTACAGCCGTAATTACATATTTAACTCATATTTATTAATCACATTAATGTTTTTATTTTTTAGATTATTTCGTTGATTTTTTTGTTATTGTAATCCACTATACATAATGTAGCTAGCAAGTAATTATGTATGGTGGTTGCTGAATGATATATAATATTTTCGAGCGGAAACAAAGATGTCTATCGTTTAATTAGTTTTCAATTACGAGTGCCATTAGTTAGGTTGTAAATTCCCGTTTTGAAATTACATCTACTACCAATATGTATCGATCGAGCCGAAGCTCCAGTCATTTTGTGGATTTAATTAACGCTCGGTTTGCTGGCTGACCGTCTTAGAGACCTAAGGGTGTATATCGATTTTAGTAGCAAACAAACCGTCTTGGTTAACTCTGCGTGCTCATCAGACGGAGGGGTGAAAAAAAAACACAAACTTTCGGAGCGGCACAATCAAGGAACATGACAAACTTTCAAAATTAATATGATTAGTTTTTGTTACCTTTGGCAACAGGTGATACGGCTATGAAGTTGACGAGGGCGGCCCCAGTGCCGTGACCCATTAAGGTCACTCTCTCGGGGTCTCCACCGAAGGCCGGAAGGTTTTCCCTGAGCCAGTGCAAACCTGCCACCAAGTCCATTAGCCCGAAGTTCCCCTGGGCGCTGCCCTTAGTCCCCGTTTTGAGGAAACCTACAAACAAAACGCACTATTAATATAAAATCCCTCCAACAAAGTACATCCCCTAAATAGGTATCATATACACACAAATAAATAAAAAAAAATAACAGCAAGGACAAAAATGAAAACACAAACATAAATAGGGCTGGTCGCGATGAGTTTGTATAGTAAACATCGTGCAAATTTAAAACTTTATATTGCCCCGTTAAAGTGGTAAAAAAACAAACACAGTTCGCGCATTTCTTTTTTTTTCTTTCTCAAACCGCAAACATAATATCATCCATCTTGTTTCAAGCAACGTTTTATAAATACGCGGCGCAAAAAGTAATTAAAAATTCCATTTTCCCCCACACACAAAGAGGCTGTAAATATGGACATACACTACAACCGAAGCAAGCGAGCAAAACTTTCTGGAAGAAGAAGAAGTACGAGTTAAAAAGAAAACAAAACTGCGATGAAGGGAAAATATTGAAAACCTTTGAATGCTTAAAACAAAACTTCCAATCTTAGAAGTAGAAAAGAAACCATTACTTCGCCTTTATGTGGATGCTATAGCTTTTTAACTGGCACAGCATCTTTCAATACACGTCTGAAATGGAAAACCTGCCAAAGAAAATAAATATTTACTTTACGCTAATGACTCGCAGGTGCTTCGGTACAAAATTAATTTCGTTTCAGCATACGCTTCTTCTCCATTGCCATTCAGTATTCAATACAACCGATAAGACGTTCTTCATCTTTTCTCCTAGTAAATACTGTACGTCCTTTCGATTCCTTTGAAAACATTGCAAATGTTGCATATTTTATTGCCTGAAATTGTGACATGTGACATTTATATGTTTTCAACGATATGTTAAAGCCACCTACGTTTGCTGAAAGCAATCATTGAACGAAATTGGTCCGTTAATCACACTGCATATTTATTCAGCCATGCATTCATCATCATTAATGCATAATTTTAGTATGGATTATGTTTATCCAAACATAAATGTTATGTGTCCATTAATCACAATTTATGGATTAAAAAATTTAATAGACGAATTGTTTTTCATGGATTATCCAGAGCTTGGTTCAAATTACCTTTTACAGTCGAGTTTTGTAAAGGTTCAATAGTGATTATTATTATCATCGTTTTAGTAATAGATATCCAACTACAAAGTTTTGCAAATATATTTTTAAATTTTATTACTCTATTAAAGACGTTACTTTCTACTAGTTTTAATACATATTAAAAAGATAAGAGCTAAGTTATTTAGTTAGTTTTTTATTAACTCAAATTTGATAGATTATTAGAAATATTTTACTAATAAAATTGTTGTAGTAGAAAAGTTCTTTTATTTTCTTAAAAATGCTATTAAATATGTCTAATAATGATGTAATTATATATTAAATAATCAAAAATTTGTATTCAGTTTAAAGATATTATTATTATTTTTCTTCATCTCCATTTTCTTCTACTTTCTTCCCATCTCTTAATAATAGGTATGGAGGAATAATGCGGGTGCGTTGAGAATTCAAGAGAATTCCCGTCACGTTTGGAATAAAGAGGGATGATATATCAGGCGCAGTCCCTAAAACCAGATGATAAATTCACATTAGGGTTGAAAAGACGTATACCTGTAAATACTGCTCGAAATGAAACTAGAGAAAATTATTGTTTATTTTCCACACATTTCTCTTATTCTTCTGACGTTTGAAATTTGCACTAAACCATAAATGGATAACTACTATAATGATTTTAATTCATCTCTAATCTTTGAATATATCAATATAATATTGACAAAATATTAAACTATTTATTAAAACATTGTAATATTTTAGACAATAATTATATTTGATTTGGTAAATAATAATAAAATTTTGTTTTTAATAAGTATAGAACTATTAAGTTTAATTTGTTTAAATTAACTACACAATTTGCTCAATGTTACATAATTAAGGAGATTGTAAATAAATCGTAAAAGTTAAGCTAAAGTTATAAATTTGTGTTTTCAAATAACGTTCGCAAATTTAAGGAAGCTATATGAAAATATGTAGGAATTTGATGAGCGGAGATTTAATATGTCGGTTGTAAAACAACCTGGGGGTGATAAAAATCGAGGATGGAGGCAAACGGATATGAAATATGAATTTAATTTACGAACGTCACGTAACTCGTAGCCTGGAGTAGATTATGTGGAAAGGCGATTCGGTGAATAAGTTGGACGTCGGTGCAATTTATTAATGTTTTCAATCTTCTTTGAGCTTCCTGAAAGTGGATCTTGCGTGGGTGCACGACCACGGCAGACGGTTTATGTAACACAGAGGTTCCTTTTAAAGTCACAACGGCTTTATATTTTATGCACGATCCAAAAGCTGCACCGTCTGGTCTGGTCGATTCAAAGGAAATAAATATCCAGATACAGCCAATCAATCGTTCCTTTGAATGCTTTTCATTCTCACCGAAAGTGCGATATGGAACAAAGTACGTTCCAGATCGTTGAATTAGTTGTAACTGGTTATAGAAAACGCGTGGAGCTACGATAAAAGCATTCATATTTTAATTAAAATGTCCCTCGGCTTTCCGAGTTTTCTGCAGTGTGAAAATAATGGTGGAGGCGAGTGGAAATGCGCACAGTTAGAAAATACTCGAAGGAATTCCAGCTGACTCGTACCGAACAGGAATCGCATGCAGGTTCCAATTCCTCGACGAACGTAAAATCCCTAACAAGGTTTTAGTTTGAATCGAATCTGAGTTTACGAGGAGCTATGAAAAGTGCAATTTATTTCAAGAAGTGTTATACATTATAAACACTACTTGGTTTATATATAAGAATCAATTTGCGCACTAAAATATCTGCAATTGACATTTCAATAAATACAAGTATTTTTTTTAACAAGTTTAACTTATTTTGAAGTGAATTGAAGTGATTATCACAACTTTTTTAACATTTCCAAGAATTTATCTGAAATGATTCTCAAATATATTTTAAAGAAGTAATACTTTTTAAATAATCTTGTACTTTTACCAGTAGCAATCGGAAGTACAACGGATTAAATGGACATGGGCCCACGAACCATAGAATGCAAAGATTAACTTTTTTTTAATCCACAAATTCAAAATCTATATTTGCCCATGCTTTGATTGTACACGTGTCCATCTACTACTTATTACATCACTACTTTTTATTATGTCTAAACAAACTTATAGAAAATTTAAATATTTTTAAGAAAACATTCTTCATTTAGTTTTTGATCTTTTTACGAGCTTTTATTTATTTATTTACATTTTATTTCATAATATATATTTTATATCATTTTTCCTCTTGATACTCCTTTGCTCCTGTTGATGCTTCGCTGGTATAGCGAGTGAGCTTTATTTTTATTGATAAAAGTATGTGTTTGTGTATTGACAACTATATTTTATCTTTACGTCAGACAAAACTTTCATATGTAGATAGATGTTGCCAGAGAATGTATACGTACCGTATATGTTACATTTTTTATGAAGTTTACCTTTATTTTTCAATTCGAAAAATCAACCGTCCGTGTATTTTGAATATTAATGATTACCTTTTGAAGTCCTTTTATTGATTGATATGTTATATGATTGTTTCTCCCACAATGCTTTTTATTATTTTTTGAAGTACGCATACATTATTTACTAACTATATGAATTTAGTTCGTCGCATATTGTAAAACACTCGCATTGTATTTTAGAACACATTTAATTGCAAACCCATAGAAATTGCTATAGTTATGTGAAGCATAATGAAAAGCGTGACAAGATGTACCACAATTTATTATTCCAGTTGATAAATGTCCCAGCGTATGGTTATTACATTGGAATCTTCGGGCCCCCCAAAATATTGTCGGCGAGATTATGTTTTCGCATATTCACCGACGTCGCGTAATTTATCTCCGTCTGGGGCGGCCATTGTTTAGCCGCCGTCCCCTTCACCCGCGAATGGAAGACCGTTCCCGAAGGAACACGTTATTATTCGTGACAATAATCGAGACTGCGATTAAATAAACACGCACTGCACATTAACATCATTGTTACTGTTATAATCCTCGAACAGGTTGCTTCATTCGAGATGATTAGTCCAATTGCGCGGAACTCACGAAATCCCTGTCTTAAGATTTAATCGTTTTCGACTTTTTTCTCAACAAATAATTCATTTGGACACGTTTTATCATAATTGCTGCAAACTCCGATATTACATTGTTTTACATAAAATGCAGACGTTGATTTATATTAATTGATTTTTTATTGAAACCACAGTTCTTTTTTAAATTTATGTTAACTAAATGTCTTTTGGTAAAACAAGTCTATTAATTCAAAGATAATAATAAAAAATGTATATTAAGAAACTTCATAAATAGTACTAAATTTGTTTGATGATCTAAATACAGTGGAACCTCGCTTAACGAACATAGTTCGTACAGTGAAATACTCGTATGATTTTACAGTAAACATAAATTATATTTGCAAAGTATAGTCCGCTGTACACAAGTATTGAAAATGATTTAGCAGGCGAGAAACTTCGCTCGTTAGGTCAGTCTTTTTTCATTCAATTTATGAATTACTCGTTAAGCGAGGTTTCATTTATAAAATTTTGGGCGAATAATTGCAGTTTGAAAAATAATTTGTTTTCTGATTTATTAATTACTGTTAAAATATAATAATGAATAATTTAGATAGATAAAGCTAAACACGTTTGTTTTGGTATAAAGTTTTTGTTCAATTAGCTGAAATAATTTTGCGAAATTGTATATGAATACAATTGAAGAAATAATGCATGTACTGAGTTATGTTGAATATTTGATGTTTATTTTTAATAAATATAATTTATAGCAATTAGTACAAAGGGAAGCTTTAGGAATTAATTTCAGGGAACGGCGAAATTAGTTCTTGCGAGTAACTCGAATACTGCTGTAACGTAATGAGACAAAATGGAAAACAACAAGCGAAATTATATGAAGGGAATACCATGTAAGTTTCGCGTGGAAACAAAGGGTCGTTCGCGCGGAATTATTTCCGCGCTTTATTATAAATTCGCAAACGCCTTTATTATCATCATCCCTTTCGTAAACGATGGACCGAGATTAGTGAAAGAGCGGCGCATTTCTGCCGAATGCAACGTCCGAAACGGAACGAAAGCAGGCGTGAAAGGCGAAACAAAATACAAAAAAAGAGGTTTAATTAAACTAGTATCCCGTATGTTGGTAATTAATTTAATTACATTTGTTGATTATAACGAGTTTAGGGAGCGGGACTACATTTATAAAAGCCATTGTGCAGAATTTACACTCGCACAAAGCGAAATAACTAACCGGCCAACGGGAGTAGACAGCAGTCGCTCCATTGTAACCGAAACTACCCCCTCGTTAATCACCTACAAACACTTTCCACCTTCAAATTTTCAAGCGCTCCTCTCGCGTCCGATATTTCTTTTTCTCGCATACAAAAAATAAAATAACAAGAAACTTACAGTACAAATCACATTTGCTTATGTTCATACTATTAAACCAAATAGAATTTTGCGGACCATAACACCTCACTCAATAAGTTCGTTGGATGAACAACAACTTTTGGGCAATATTCGACTTTATTCATCAACATTGTCTCCTTCAAGAGTGATACATTCACTAAAACCACTGTAACTTGTGAATTAAACGTCAGTTTGCCATGAAATTTTGCCAGGCGTGGTCTGAAGGTTGGTACTTCCTAAAGATCATAAGGATCGATGCGCCATCTATATATTATCATATGAAGTCATTGAGTTATATCATTCAATTCAGCTTGTAACAACAACACAAAAATTAAGTTTAACGTGCTTAAGATAAGTTATTGATAAGTAATAGTTTATAATCGTAAGCCCATACATAAATATGTTTGAATCTTATACTAATATTCAGATAAATCGAGAAAACTTTCAAAAATGTATGGATTTAATATAATTGTAAATGTTTATAATTGCAGTCAATTATGACAATCTACTGTCATCTATGATGTTAACTTATTACGATTACTGTACAAGTGACTATACAAAATATTTGTTTTTGTCAAAATAAGAAATATTTTTTTTACAATGAAATGAAATGATTAATAAAAGATAGCTTCCCATTATAGTAGAACGAAATACCTGTCCGTGGATATAAGCTATATCATTTCGGACTCGATCAACGTTTTCTCTTCTTCTTTTTTTCCTTCTTTTTTATTTCTCTTTCGGCATTGAGAGCCGAGCAGGCATAAGGGCCGAACGCCTTTCTTTCACGAACCCGCTTTTGTCCATTATCCGAACGTCTTTTACTACATTTATTGAATCAATTTTCGTTCGTCATTTGTATTTCCTTTGAGCGAATCATTCCGCACGGATAAATATTGATTTCGTCCAGCTCCTCTCCTTTTCGGTATTATGCAGTTTCCTTGTTGTTCAGCCAAGCCAACAACCCAAGCGGGCCGGCTTGCAAGGACGCCCCATTTTACTTCCTTTAGTTTGGACCAACTTTTCTAACAGCAATTTCATGAAAAGGAACTTACTTCTCTCATGTACTAATTATACACATTATAACAATCTAGAACCAACAATTGCAATAATATAAAGAACTAAGAACTTTATATAAAAAAAAATAACACTTTTCGTAACATAGTTATTTTGCTTAGTCAACTAACATTTTATTACTAACACAGCATAGTTCTTGAAACAAAACTTATACTTTTTTTAGTTACAGTTTAAGTTTGTTACGATTGAAATTATAAATACATATTTTTGTTTAATTTTTATGACGGTTACAATAAATATTAACATAATTCAATTACTTTTAATCTTTCATTGAAGTAAGTATTTTCCAAACTCTATAAATACCATTTTCAGTCTAAGTTACCTAATATTTGATGGAACTAAACCATTGCATTTAATGGTTCAAAATCCAAGGTAGTATTAACTGGTGAATGTTCAATTACTTTAAATTATGCAATTTTTCCATTGCAGTTGTCGTCAAATTGGATTGTTTTCTTTGCCAAATGAGGTATTTAGCTTTGATTGCGTCGTTCGAACGATTCAATAACAATGCATAATAATATAGTTTTTCCAATTTCCATACAGTATATGAGAATTATCTCAATATTACCTATTGAAATATATTTGCTTAGATCTCCTACTTCTCTGTGTTGATATAATTTTATTAAAACATGTTGATATTAAAAATATATATATTTTTTTAATTTTTATTATGTATTCTACAATTTTTTCAACTGGGAAAAGCAAGAAATTAATTAGCAATTAACTTTTAATATACATTTGTAGTAAATTTTACAGATATTGAAATAAAATTGAAATTGTTTTAATAATTCCATGGATAAACCATATAGTTTGGTCAAAGATATAATAAAATGTAGAATGTAACTATATCATTATAATATAAAAATTAAATATGTAGGTTCAATATCTAACTTTCATGAATTATGTGTATAGACTGAAAGGCGTTTTAAATTTCAAGCGTATGAATTTAGTGTTAAAAGCGGAGAGAAACTCGAAACCACAGCAGCGTTAAACACAATTTATCAGTTTTCCTTCAAATTTCCCCAGCATACAATTAATATAACGAGCACGGCTCTCCGATGGGTCAATACTGTTACATCACTTAAAGAGAAACTTCATATTTACACCTCTCTATTACATATTATATTTTCATTTTTTATATAAAACCTATTAACATTGTATAAGTATTCAAAGTTTGATATTTCGCTAAACGAGCAAAATATTTTTGAATATGTTTCACTATACGAGTATTTCACTGCACGAGTAAAAATCCGGAAATTTTGGAACGGATTAATCTCGTTAAGCGAAGCTCCATAGCATTAAAACTGTAAATAACATAACTATTATTTGTAGATCAATAAGGATTAAGTACAAAGTAAGTATAAAGATATATTTTCTGATTCAAACAAGTAGCAAATATTTTTTATCCTTTTTCAATTCATATTTACTTGGAACGAAGAACGCGATATTCAAAATATGTTAAGTAAAGCTTGTATCTTTTATATTTACGAGGACTGCATGTGTGCGTATTCGAACATCCATAGGGACTTCACGCATTCTAAACAAGATACATTCAATTTCCGCGTCGCACTTAGTAATATTTCAGTCTCGTGAAAATTGAGTTGGAATCTTGAAGAGTTTCATATTTGCAAAGAGGTCTGTCGATAAATTCCAACGGCCCGAGAATTTCACTTGCATTGCAAACTTCGCTTTGGAAAAGGGGACCACCTCCGTACGTGCAACTTTGAGTTTGGCACTAATGCGTTTTTGAACCATTCAACAACTCGTATTCGACAAATACGTTATTGCATTTTACTTTACCGAAAATTCCAACGGATTAAACATTAATATCTGTAAGTTACAAGTTTTCTTCAACTTGAACGATGAAATTTGCAATAACGTAACTTTTAATTAATACAAACAAGTACACTTTTCTTCAGGAAATAAATGTTGTTATAATCTTCTGTAATCCTGTAATCATCTTGATGTTGTTAAACGTCACATTTTAACATTGTCCTAATATCGTCGTGACGTTGATCTGATGTCATTAAGACGTTGAATTGACTTTATCAATTAGACAACAACTTATTAACACTACAAGAAATATATTTGTATTTAAGACTTGATTATTATTATTTTCTGACTTCTAACTTGAAATCATTAACGTTGACCTAATGTCATCATGACGTGACTTTATCATTTAGAAAAGGACCAGGTTTTAACCTAACCTGATTTCACTATACTAAACCTTAATTGATTCTCAATCCATCTAGCTCTAAATGTATATTGCAGATTAATGTCAAACTTCAGTAACTGCATTAATGCATTTTCTAGTACACAATGGATCATTTCAATTGACCGAATTCAAGTAATAGCTACGCCGCTTTTGC